TATTCAATAAACTGAAAGGGACTTTTTTCCTTTGTAATACTTTTTTTTCAAGCATTCCTGTCATGTTTTGTCATAATCAGTTCAATAGTTTGAGAAAAATCTAGTATAATGTACGACGACATCTTCAGCGATTCGTGCAAAATTTCTTCGAAAAATCTAAACAAAGCCGCATCATGATAGAATATAGTGTGGAAAAATAATGATCAAATATTTATCTCATCTGCCTACAAACAGTTGAATATGATACAAAAGATGACTTTAGGAGGATAAATTCCACTAATGGACCCCTTTGTCTTCTTTATAAGGTCTCTTTTGGTCCATTTATATATGTCATTTCCTCAAAATTTCAACTTTTCAGGCCAATAAATAAAAATAATGAAGTAACTTTCACTCATTTATGATAGAAATGTTATAATGAATTACATTGAGTGATTGAAGTATTCAAGCAGAATGAACAATCCATATAAAAGTTTACTGGAGGTTTTAATAAGTCCTTACGTAAAACTTAAATTTACGCTGCGTTCCAGAGAGGGACATAAAAGTTTCTCTATCAGTGAATAATTTGTTGGTACTGCTTTAAAAAATAATAACGTTTACTTATAACTATATATTTATGAAAATATTTCTGAGAAAAAACTTTCTATTATAGCAGAATATAAGAAATAAGGATAAAGAGCTCCCCAAAACACCGTGAAGTATGGCTTGTTCTGTTAACTAATATTCATGGTAGAGTCCTATTTCAAGGAAATGTTCTCATAAAATGTGTTTTGGAGACTCAATCCACTCAGAATATTTCATTGTTTGTAATATTTCACTTGAATATCAAGAAATTTTAACACATGAGAGTACTCACAAGGTCAAAGGTGCATGTACAGCACCCCATATTAGGTGTAATACCACCATTGATATTCCCCTATTAGTCTTTTTAAAATTTGCACTTTTCAAAACAATTGTGCAGAATTTATCTTTGTTTCAAATTGAAAAATACTTGGCATGAGTAAAGTTTTATCCTGTCCAGTACTATAGAAAAAAATTCACATAAAATTTCATTGCATATAAGAAAATAACCATAACTGTCAGTTAACCAATCAAATTCCCCCCCTTATTTAACCTGTGTACAAGCTTTAGTAACCATGTAACCTCAAGTTTCCAAAATATTGTATAGAAATCCCAAATAAAAAAAAATGATGCTTTGAAATACCCAAGATACATGTATATGTTTATGGCCCAGAAATGTTTCACTGCAATAAAATGATGGATTAATTACCTACAACTGTCAAATTCAAGGGAATATGTTTTTCGACCTATTTTCGTATGCAACCGGATGTGACGTACCATGCGTTGGTGGTATTACACCTATTCAATGGCTTCTAGAGAAACAAATAATGTGGAGTTTCACGGGGTATAGCTATAAAGGTCTTGTAGAGGAGAAACAGGCGCATGGTTTGCGCAAGGTTTCGAGTTGCGCTTTGTCCAAAAACTGAAACTAGGGCTCGGAATTTGAAATTTTTTGGAAAAACAACGGAAATTCGCCTATTACATGGCCTCTGGAAAAAATAATGAGGGATGTCGCGGGGTAAGACTATAAAGTTCCTCTAGAGGGCACACAGGCGCATAGTTTGCGCAAGGCTTCAAGGGGTGCTATGTTTAATTATGTCGAAAGGAACTAAAATTTAGTGAGGAACAAAGGCAACTCAAATGTCAGACAAGAACGTGAAAACCGTGAAAAAAACATATCAGAGTCAGCAAAGAAGAATATCTTGTCATATGAAGTCGAAATGAAAATCCAAATTCCCCCATCTGAATTACATGATAAAAGAGATTGCAAAATGTGTAATGTAAGTACTGATAAAGAGAAAGCTGAATACTGGTTGAATTTTTTTCAAGGGTATTTCAAAAAGAAAACGATGAAGATGAAAGAACATTAGTGCGAAGGCCATTTGGTATACAACCTAAAGTTCTATATACTATTACAGACTTAATAGACAGTTTACTTTGTATTATTTTCAACAGTTTATTTATATCAGAGGTTTTGTACCAGAATAAAACAAAATCGGCAAAGAGTACTGCGTTGTTAAAAAGATATGATAGTAAAACTACATACAGACCAGTTAACTTTATCAATGACAATCCAAGCGCCACATCCTTAAAGACGGTATAAGTACCCTCGTCCACGTGCGGGCATTGTCTGATATAAATAAATGTATACTAGGCAAAAAAAGAAACGCTACCCTGGTTTTTAATTAAAAGAAATTACATAAATTAATTTATATATTTTCAAGATTACAACTAGTGACCTGAATGATTAATCTATCATTTACTATTTTGTTAAAAATTCGAAGACTACGTTACGTCATTTTCTGATTTCAAACAAATGAGCATTTTTTCAAACATTTACCTGTATAGAGATGGAATTGTGTTGTCCTTTTGATCATTAAATGTGTCGAGCACTATATTGTTAACAAAAGGTCGCATTAAAAAATTGAAAAAGTTACACGTAAGTCAATGCCACGTCTACGTCATAATCAGAGAGAACGAGCTATTGGGATGTTGGCAGCAAAAATGACTCTAATACAGGTTGCAAATCATCCCAATATCTCTAGAATGACTATTGAAAGGCTTAAGACTCGTCTTAGAGATATTGGCACGACAAATAATCGTCCCCGAGGTTGCAGGCAACGTGAAACGAAGTTACGTCAAGACAGGCACATCCGAATTATTCATCTCCGGAATCGATTTGTAAACGTGTCACAAACAGCACGTCAAACTCATGGAAGAAACAACAATAGGCTATATTCCCACACAGTTTGTAACCAACTGCATCAAGTTGGCCTAAGAACTCGTCGTCCGTTGAAGGGACCTATCCTTTCGCAGCGTCACAGGATGTCGCGACTTGCATGGACTCGGGTACGGATTCGATGGAATAGGCTAACATGGAGACAAGTCCTTTTTACCGATGAATCGAAATTCAACTTGACATTGAGCCACGGTAAAGCCAGGATGTACCGGAGGTTCAATGCATGATTTTCTGATGCGTGCGTGCAGGAAACGGATCGGTTTGAGGGTGGCGGAATTATGGTATGGGACGGAATAACCTACCAGGAACGCACCGATCTGACAATTATTGTAGGTAACCTAAATGTAAAAAGGTAAAGGAACGAAATTCTGGCTCCACTCGTTCTCCCGTTTCTCCGAAGGCATCGTTTTAACCACGTGTTTCAGCAGGACAACGCCCGTTGTCACGTGGCACACATTTCAATGATTTTTGGAGAATAATCACATTCGTGTGTTGTCGTGGCAAGCAATGTCTCCAGATTATAGCCAATGGAACATCTTTGGGACGAACTTGGTCGACCAATCAGAAAGAGCTCAAAACCATCGGAAACGCTCGCCCATCTCCGAATAGCACTTTTCAGGGAATGGAACAACACAAAGGGCCATTGATAAAGAGGGATGATCATGGGTAGTTTCTTCAAATACTGGAACATGAACGACAACCATATCACCATTCTGAAAGCTCCGAGGGCCAGTTCGGATGCTGTAATGAAATGGTGGGTCATTAAAAAAGTAAAAGACAGCACGTATGAAACCTAGTGCGACCAGATTTAAACGGATATAGAATGAATGAAGATAGAATATGATGCAGCAATCAAAGAACATGAGAAAAAATATTGGACAAGCTGGACAAGTGTGACCACAAACTCAAACATGCAGAACCATTTGATTAGTTAACTTCACGAAAATAAAATGGCAGAGGACAAGGTGATGAATGTTTGGTATGCAAAGAAATAGGAAGAACAAGAAAGAGAAATTCAATAGATTGACGGAGTGAGATGTGCTAAAATAAACTAGAGTAGATATCGAAACCTTAAAAATTGAGGGTAATACGTTGCATCATAATCATACCTCTAGTTAATACCACACACATGACGTTTACTATGTGCCGCACTTAATGTAATGTCACGTCACTTTGACATGTTACTATGACTAGTTCATCTATCACATAGTCAAGAAGTCTTTTATTTCTATCTTAAGAAGGGAAAATGAATACAAAACTGAAAGCCATTCGTTCCGGTGTTACTTTTCGGCCCGGATACCCTCAGTCTTCCGAGGTAGAAGATTCTTTATCTGGAAGCCGAAAATTATTTCTATAATACGGCATGTTTCCCCATACAACAAATGCAATTAAAAAATGAGATGACTTCAACTTTGACAATTACTTTATAATAAACTGTTATTGTATCTATGTTTAACGATTCAATAGATTGATAAAGATATCAATGAATAATCAAAATACCTTAAAAAAATGTTCAAACATGATATTATATTTTGTAGTGAAAAGGTTTAATTCAACCCAAGTTGCAAGAAATGCTGTAATGCCAGCAACGTCGTTCTATAGCGTTAACAGAAAAGGTTATAGTTCCCGCCAAAATTCAATAATAAGATTATTTCCGTTTTAGCGGATTTAAAACATCGGTGACCCCCTTTTTATTTATGCTTTTAAAATCTTCCCTGAAGCTGCAACTTATGCAGAAGTTTGAAGGGAAAAACATTAGTAGAGATTTTTTATTTAAAAAAAAAATCTATTATAAATAGCAATTTAAAATGGCGGGATATGTTCAAAGGCCTTCAAAAATAAGGAAACCGAGACAAATAAATGTTCATAAGGTACAAGTTACATTTGACTGTTTTTGTTATTCCAGTTAAACATCGTTTTTCAATAAGTTTGTCTTTTTTTAGCAATTTAGAGCGCTATTTCTATATTTCGTTATAACGCGATTCTTTAAGTTTTGATGACGTCATATCTCGAAAACAACATCGGTGACCCCGATTTTTTTTCGCCCAAAATATCGTAATAAGTATGATCTGTCTACGTGCAAAATTTCAATGACTTATTATTAGTAGTATAAATAGTGTGATTTCCCGAAAAAAAGAAACTATCAAAGTTTTCAGGTAGGTACCCTCATCTTAGTTAACAAAAAATCATATTTTATACATACCATTCACATGATTACACATCAGTAGATACAAAATAAAACAATAAAGAACTTTGATTCTACAAGTGATATTCGCCATTCCCTGTCCCTAAGTTTTTATCGAAGTGACACCTTGAACTTATTCATATAAAAGCGTAGAACTGAATTGAAGCGTAAACACAATGTTATTATAATACAGTTCAATACATATTCAATTTCAATTACCTCCAGTAATCTTTAAAGGAACACTTTTTTTCAATGCTCTGTTTATCAATGCTTGAAATGAGAAATGGAGAACAAAAGATATGCTAGTAATGGACCGTAATAAAATCAATAATGTATATATGTTAATATAAAATAAATTAGTAATAATTTTGACTTAACTTTCCTTCTTACTCTTCTATGACATTTTATGGATTTGAAACCCACACAAAAAAAACCCGACTATAAATGTTTGGAAATGATTTATCCTGAATTGATAACTCCTCCTAATAATAATGTTGCAGTTGTTTTTAACTTAATAAAACATCGCTTTTGTAGATGCTCTGGCATATCGTTTCAACAAAGATACTGAACTGCAATAGCAGATTGAATGTTACAACTCTAGGACCTTCTTCACAGAGCATCCGTCATTTGCATTTGTAAAAATACAAAACACGGAAATAAGTTGTATAAGTATGCTTATTTCGTCTTTACTCGAATTTCTTAACACAGGGTGTATTGTAGAAATTTAATATTGTTGGACAAAATTTACTTACAGCGGCAATATTTACTGTACCGGATTTGGAATGTTTTCTTGTTTACAACAGTTGGCCATAAAAAGCTTTAAAATACACAGTAAAAATTGATAGCACCGTACAAGGGGATTGACGGCTGTTTCCTCATATGAGGAGTTTCTTTCATCTTCAGCAGAATTGATGCATTTCGTACTTAATTCACAAATTATGAGCCCTCTTTTTTATATTCATGTTGAATCTGAATCATTTTCAATTTAACAATGAAATTAGGGGGAGGGGGTGAGAGAAAATGGTGTATATCCAAAATGAATATGATATTAAATGTTTACACTTATCTTTTGAATATATGTAAATAGTTTACCTGGTCTATTTAGCACAAGGATTCCGTAGACTAAGAAAATTTCATGCTCATCTGGAGGTATCTGTTTTTCCTTTTCAAATTCAAAAATTAAAACGTTTGGTCGTGGTTTGTTTCTCTGTTTGCTCTTAAATAGCAATGCTGATCTCATATATACTTTTTCTAACTCCTTCTTTCTTTTTGAGTAAGTAGAATATATATATATTATCTAAGACAGTTTTTTCAAATATGAGAAAAACAGACTGTATTAACAACTTTATTTGCAAGTAAGGTTTGTAAATAATTATTTGCCTTGTCTTTCTCCTTATAACTAGATATTATCGTTTTCCATCTGGTGCAATATTGCAACATACATTACGCTCTGCAATAATGTATATATATATATATATATATATTCATGTATTATTTTACATGCTATTACATAACATGTTTGTTCGTCGTCTTTTTTATTATTCCAAAGTAACTGAATATATGGTAATATACTACAGAAATACAGAAACAGTGCAAATTTTTTTTGTATTTTCCTTTTAGATTTCATATCAATTTCTATTTTGTTAACGTGTGACTGCTTGATTTTTTTTGGGGGGGGGGGGGGGGGGTACCTTAATAAGCTAATACCAAGCTCAATTTAACAATTTAAGAAGTCATAGAGTCCTTTTTTAGACCATTATTAAAACCAATTAATAACGTGTTTAAAAAGGTATCCTGCTGATTTTTTGTGGTCATCTATCATCGGTTTCCGCACGAGACAAAAGTTTCGAAATTTGGAAATCTGAATTTTTTGAAACAAGAAACCAAAAAAGGTCTAAACAATATAAATAACCGTTTGAGAACAGTTTCGTCCGGAGATTTTAATGAAGATTTTTTATTCAATTACATACTTTATTAAATGACACAAAGTATCATTACATAAACCAAATGTATTTGAACTATACGTTTTCATGGGATGTGGTTGTTTATAGATGTTTAGGTCATCTAGTTTTTTTTTGGAGATATTGCCATTTAGTTCATTTTTGAGTTAAAAGCTACGAACGATAAAAAAAAAACACGACTTTCATGAAGTTAGGAACCTATAGTTTACTTGTTTTTGTATTACTCTAATTTCCATTTTCGTTTCATGTTAGATGATTAAAGCCGTTAGTGTTGATTTCACATACGTAGTACGAAATGACTCGTGTTAATTGATCATTGGTAGAATATGTATTAACCATCATACCATATATCTTTTCGTTGGATAATTTATGGAAGATCTTTATTCAACGAATACCTAATACTTTATATATTTTTTATAAACAAAAGTGTTTCTTATTTGAAAAATATTTCCTTTAATTTATATAAAAACAAGTCATGTCTCTTGCAAAAAAGAGGCTAAAGATACCAAAGGCATATCAAAGGTTCTTGAATATCATGTTCTGATATACTGAAGATATCCTGTCGCTTAATAACCCATATTTTAGCAATTGCTTGCATTTCGTACATCACAATAAAATCGACTCTAAAAAATATATGGTCTACATAATATCTGGATTTTGCTCATGGTATGACTAACAGAATCCTTTAAAGTGGGATTGATGACATACATAACGATTTTCTTTTTCCAATGGTCAACTTCTCATTTCTTAGTAGTAATTGAGAATGCTGTCAGTGTCTAAACTCACGAGCGATATGACTAATTGGTCTTCGTTCTTAAGATACCAGAATAGTAAAGTTAATTGATCTTTCATTTTGTCTATTGTGTGTTATTCGCTATTGTACATTTTGATTGCATCTGGATTTGCATGGCGGTGGATGATGCATGCCATGAGATGCTAACATGTACCCTTTCGGCGTATACAGTCGTGCTCCCTTTGAGCCATGCGGTTTTCTCTATTTTTTTAGGATTTTGTATTTAAATTTATTCATAATTCACCACTGCAGTCCTGTATAAACTATATGATAGTGATTAATCGTACATCGATAAATCCAGAAAAGCGCTTCGGACGCATGCAATTTATAACGTGTTGTTTTCATTTTTATACAAAATTTGAGATGTAAGTCGTAAATGGTCATTTTGATCTTAGCATGGTCTAAAAAGTCCAAACAATAAATTATGAAGTAATGTTCAGACTTTTATTCAATTTTAAGACTTATCCACTGCGGTAAATTTAGCTCTGTTTTGAAAAATCACTTAGAGTCAATTCAGTACTCTTCAGTAGCATTTTAGACAATTCAGAATGATGTTGGTGTCAGGTAAATAACAACCACTGAGCAGATCTTAATTGACTGCAAGCGAAGTGTCTGAATAGTACTTAAATTACCGTAGTGGATAATAGTCCGTTTCTATGTATGCTGGCGTTTGTTTTTGTAGCAGTTCAATGTTTATGTTGTTTCGTTGTTTTCCTCTTATAGTTGATGTGTGTTGATTTGTTTCAGCTAAATCGATTTATGACTGTTGAACAGCGATATACTACTGTTGCCTTTATAAGTCTGAAAATTTAACAAAAGATTGAAAGGACATAATAACGATTGTTCAGTCATTTAAGACCTTTTCTGATTAAATTTGGTTTAAAATTAGGAAATATTAAACTCTTGGGTTCATTACTTCTATGGATTGATTAAGATATAAACTTTATTGCAAAAAGTAAAACCCTGACGGGTTAAAATGCACACATTACATAATAAACATGCACAACATGAAAAAAGTTCTAAACAAGTCAAGTTAATATTAATAATATTAGTAATCATGTTATTCAACATAATACATGGACCCGTTTATATTCAGAATATTTCTCCCAGGGACACCCAAGTTATGGAATAAACTACATTTAAACGTAAGAAAATGTGAATCTCTTTCAATTTTTAAGAAGCACATTTGTATTTAAAATAGTAAAGTCCCTCCTTATTACTATGTAGGAAATCGATTTGGACAAGTTCTTCAAGCTTGCTTAATGATGAACTCGAGTTCATTAAATTCTCATCTATTTTCTTCGGAATTTAGTAGAATCTTCAAACTGTCTTTGTGGTGACTTGGAAACAAATGCTCATTTCCTATTATCCTGTCCAATATATACCAATTTAAGGCAGGAACTTCGGGCTTCAATTTCAGATTTTCCAGTTCAATTTGATATAAATACCTTGCTATGTGATTCAATCATATTCTCGGACGAACAAAGCAGCCTTTTAATTATTTTGGTACAAAAATATATATTTTAAACCAAGCGATTCAATCCTTGATGCAAATGCTCGATCATTTATTAAACATAAGCATTTCATTCTGCAAACAACTCTCTATACTATTTACCACGTGTTTATTCAGTTTTTTTTTTATGAAACTTCAATCTCTTATTTTTTTTTTTACAAACTGACTATTTCAGAACATGCAATATTTACATATTTACATTATGATGACCATATAATAAATTTATTTTGCTTGTTTTTAAATCCTATTCATTTCATGTATCCGAATTATATACTATGTATTGATTTATTTGCAAAAATATTGTTTAAACTAATATTAATAATACAGAAGTATATAGATAATTGACCAATGTGGACCTCATTTTCACAACGCCATTGATTGCTTTATATAGACTACAACATTAGAAAAGATGTCTTTATTGGGTTTAGAGTCTGAGTAAAGCTGGTTAATAAAGGAAACAGTAGTATACTGCTGTTCAAAAGTCATAAATCGATTGAGAGAAAACAAATCCGGGTTACAAATTAAAACCGAGGGAAACACATCAACTATAAAAGGAAAACAACTGAACAACAGAAACGTCAACTATAAAAGGAAAACAACGGAACAACAGAAACATTGAAGTGCAACAAAGACAAACGCCAATGCAACATACATAGAAACGAACTATTTGATAACAACTGCCATATTCCTGACATGGTACAGGACATTTTTAGATAAAATGGTGGGTTGAACCTGGTTTTATGGCTAGCCAAACCTCCCGCTTAAATGGCAATGTTGAAAATACCGTTAAAATGACAACATTATGTGACAGAAATACATTACAAATAAAAGCAAGAACACTTAGGAC